AAGAGAAAGCCACCGTCACGTTATGATCAGCAACCCGGAAGTACTCCTTGCTAGTGGATCCGTAGAAGTTCCTCAGATTATAGACACAGCCGGCTCTCAGGTGACGGACATGAGCATCAACACGCCCTGCTGGAATGAAGCCTTGAATAGCAGTACCCTGCCAAGCAAATAAAGTTATCACAATTAAATGCGATATAAACAACAAACAATATGTGAGGAATGAGCAAAGAAAGCAAAGGAAAAAGTTACTACAAACTCCAATATAAACAAACTAATTATTTGATCCATTATAACTCTAATGTAAACCGATAACAACCTGTGAAAATAGCTAACCTAAACTACAAAGAGATATCACTTGCTAAACTATAGTTAATAACTATAGAATACATATGACATAAACGAATGGTCAAAAGAAACAAAGAAGCATAAATAGTAATTCCAAAATAAACAACCACTCGTTTACCCCACATAGTCTGCAGGTCCATAAATCATTTAAAATGTGAGTCAAAGGAAGATAGCAATAAAATATATATACTACTCTGTCTGATACTTATAACATAGTAAAAAACCAAAACCAAAAGAAAGAAAGACGACTAAATAATGTTCAGAGAAACACTTAAAATATATGAGAGCATCCAAGTTCAAAACCAAACACAACATTATATATTACTCGCGTCAGGACCGAACTACAAACCGTTGGGGTTAAACTACCAAAAATATAACTATTTTATTTTTTCGTGTCAAGAACAAACAGGCAAACCTGCGTTAAAAAAAAAACAAAATCGAGTACTCTATACAGTAACAGCCGAGATCTCAACGATCCGACAGAACCAAACCGAAGAGTTCCACTGAAAATGAAAAACAGAGACCAAGCCTATACAACGTTTAAGACAAACCTATATGAGCCTACTCGTTTGATCCATTACAACCGATAACTAAACCGAAATCAATTATCTAAAAATTACAACTTTCAATATAAACGACTACTCGTTTGATCAACTACAAACGATATCTAAATTAATATATCATAACGATCAAAACCCAATTGAAAAACAATTATCAAACCGAAATTTTTTTTCCAAAAACAAAAACATTGAGTGGAAGGTAAGAAGTCGACCTTCTCATCGATGAGGAGCATCTCCACTCCAATTAACACTTTCGTACGCGTGTTGCGAGCCTCCCAAAAGTGGATGAGGCGAAACATCAACTCAGCTTGGTGGGGACCTTGCTCGATGTCGGCAAACAACATGATGTCCACCAGTCTTTCATCGGAGACAATATCCTTGCCGTGTCGTTTGGTTGAAACGTTGGAGGAGACAGATCCTTGGACGACGGTTTTGGAAGAGGCTGTGTTTTTGTGAGCGGGTCGGTGAGGTGTTGATGACCAAGTTTGGTGTTCTGGAATCTGGACAGTGGCGCTTCGAGTCCGTCGGAGTGGGTGAGACATCGCTCTTCAACACCGTTTTGGGATCGATCACGGAGGAGATGACGACCTTCTTCAAAGACTTAGCGGCGCCGGAGTTGACAGACTGGGATTCCATCAGGGGGGTTTTTTTTATAGAAGATTGTGAAGTAGTGTGAGAGAAGATTAAAAACTGTGATGGGTTTTATAAAGAAATCGAGGCCTAAGAAGGTGGAAGGAAACATTGAATGAGCAGAATTGAAAGAAGAATCGTGTGAGAACTCGGTTTCGAAACCGTCTTGAAAGAGAGGATCGAAACAGATAGAAGAACATGAATCGTCGAGGGAGAACAACATAGCTGCAACCAAAGAAAACTTAATTCGGCGTAGAAGAGTCGAAGATGAGAAGATTCGCTTTAACGGGCCAAGACCGAAATTTCAGACCCAAACCGATATAAGGCCCATCCGAAGGGAAGACTTGCTGACGTGGAGGCGACGCAGAACCCTATTGGTCAGAATAAAAAAGCTTACGTGGACACTCTCAAAAGGCTTAAATAAGCCCTTTTAGTTATAGTAGATTTATTTGAATAGTTATTATATAAAGGTAAATTTGAAAAATAGTTTCAAATTTGTGGTAAAATTAAAATTTCTCTATGTTTATTTTATGCTAAATCATCTAATTTTGTAAAGTTAAAAACAATACACAAAAATTGAAAATTGTAAAACTAAAAACGAAAAAACAAAACCAATCCCAATAAACAAAAACCAAAAAATTAAAAACCGATAATTCATAAATAAAATCTGAAAAATAAAATCTAAAAAAATAAAACAAAAGTGTTAAAAATACCCTAAGTTGGTTACTACTTTTCAAAAATATACTTACTCTAACATTTTGGATTTAAGGTTAAATATTTGATAAATTACTTAAACTACCACATTCGTAATACAATTTTTTATGTTTATCTTAACCACATTTACCATTAGTTTTAAAGAGGTAAAACACACAGTCATATTCATATGGTTAAATAATCTAGACTTAGAGTTTAAATTTGAAGAATGGATTTTAGGATATTAATAAAAAATAAACAAAAAATAAATAAATACTTAAAATTTAAGATAGATTCAAAAATATTTTTTTTGAATTTCAATATTTTTTTTGAAAAAAAACTGATAAAAATTTGGAAAACAAATTGGTAAAATTGAAAAACATTATCAAAAAGTTTGAATTCGAAAAAGTATCATTCGAAAACTATTAAATATTAATCAATCATTATTTATTTAAATAGTTTTTTTCCTTTTAATGAAAAATTATTTGTGAAAATGTCCATTTAATAAAAATAGACATGAATTGTGATACAATAAATGAGGTAAAAATAGAAATCCTCCTTAAAATTTAGGGGCCGGTGTTGGGTTTATAAGCCTCTATATATAAATTTTTCTAAACATTTATAAATGATTTTGCAGAGTTAGTTTAATTTTTCATCACAAAACTTAAGGTACTTATAAAAGGAGGATTTCTACTTTTACCCATCACAATTCATGTTTATCCTCATTAAATAGATATTTTCACAAATACGTTTTTCATTAGATGACAAAAAATCATAGTTTATTTATTTACTTTATAGATATATAAATATAAATAATTATTTAAATAGATAATAAGAAAAATTAAAAATAACTTTTTATAGTTTTGAATTGTATATTTTAAAATTTGAACTTTTTATTAAAAAAAAATTGAAACTTTTTTGAATTTCTTTTTCCATATTTTATTTTAAATTCGGAATTATTTTTTTGAAACTATTTTTCAAATTATTTATTTTACAATTTTAAGTATTTATTTATTAAAATTCTAAATGCCACATTCCAAAACCCATGATTCAAATCTAAATTCTAAATCTAATTAGTTAATTTTACTTCTTTAAAATTAACTTTAGATGTGGTTAATATAAACATAGAGCTTTGGCCTCAATACGGACCCGGGTTCGAATTCTACTGGCTGCTGGTAGTAAAATTTAAAATTTGGGTTCTCCCAACGTCGGTGACCAAGGCGTACTCCGGTCGATAACGTAGGTTGATACGAACACTCGCCGCTAGTCTGGATCCACCTTGGTGGGTGCCAAGATACACCGGGTTATTCAAAAAAATATATATAAACATGAAAATGTATTAAGAATGTGATAGATTAAGAGTTCATTTAAGAGTAAATTTGAAAAAGTAGTATCAAATTTGTGGTAAAATAGAAATTTATCCATAGCTAGAAACCAAAAAATATTAAAACATGAAGGCCTGGGCCAGATTTGTTGCACAGATGGGCCTATGCTATTGCTAAACAGGCCACGTAAGCAAGTAGATGGAGGCTCGATCAAATAACAAACTCTTCTACCGTCTCTCAAATTCATCATCCTCGGCGGCCTCTCTCTTCCCTACTCACTTTTCTCCGATTTAGGGTTTCCACAGTCGCCATGTATCGCACCGCAGCTTCACGAGCCAAGGCTCTCAAGGTCTGTACCCATCCTTTCCTTGATTTAGCTTCTGGAACATTCGACTAGGGAAAAATGATTCGTCCGATTCACTCACTCTCTAAAATTTTATAGATCTGGATTCGGATTATTGATTACCGGCGACGATAGCTCTGTTTTTAGGTTTACGAGTAATCGTTTTCGTTTCGTAGTTACTCAAGTCAATCAATAACATTTGCCTCAATCGTGGATTTTTTTATTGTGAATCGGCGACTTTTTGATTTTGAGATCATTTATCATATTCTTTGTTTTGTTAGGGATCTCTTAGCCGAAGTTTGACACCGGCGCGTTATGCAAGTTCCAGTGCTGTTGCTACGAGTTCTTCTTCTTCTTCTTCAGGTTTCTTCGGATGGTTGACCGGTGGATCATCTTCTTCGCTTACTTCATTGGACATGCCACTACAGGGTGTATCTCTACCTCCGCCACTCTCTGACCATGTTGAGCCGAGCAAACTTAAGATCACTACTCTTCCTAATGGTCTCAAAATCGCCTCAGAGATGTCTCCCGTAAGTAATAAACCTTATTTTTTATGCCTGGTTTTCTATGAGAATGCGATGTTGTTATGCCTTGAATCTAGTCTCTGACGTGGTAGAATTAGTTAGCCGGGAATCGAATCTCGTTGTATTCTGCATTTCTGCTTATTCACCCTCTAAGTCTATCAGTTATAGGCTTTTAGAACGGGGATTTTAGAGATTTGTGTTTTTGTAATTTGTACTCTAAAATCTTGAATCATCTCCAGTAATTTGGGGAACCACGTCAAATCTCTGTGTTGATTTACTTTTCGCGTTTATTCATCTGTTTCTGACATTATCTTATTAACGCGAGAAATGAACTGAGAAAGTTTTTATGTTGGCAGAATCCAGCAGCTTCTATTGGTTTGTATGTTGATTGTGGTTCTATCTATGAGGCTCCTTATTTCCATGGAGCAACACATTTGCTTGAAAGGATGGCTTTCAAGAGCACGACTAACAGAAGCCATCTACGTCTTGTGAGGGAAATTGAAGCCATTGGAGGAAACACCTCGGCATCTGCATCTCGGGAGCAAATGAGTTACACTATAGATGCTCTTAAAACCTATGTCCCTGCAATGGTTGAAGTTCTTATTGACAGTGTGAGGAACCCTGCTTTCTTGGATTGGGAAGTTAATGAAGAGGTAAACCTCTCCTTTTTTTTTTTCCTTTGTTGTTGTTTTGGTAACTCTGGTGGAAAAAAAGTTGTGTGACTTATGGTTCTTGTGCAGCTACGTAAGATGAAGGTAGAGATAGCAGAACTTGCAAAGAACCCTATGGGTCTCCTCATGGAGGCCGTTCACTCTGCTGGTTATTCCGGTGCATTGGCAAATCCTCTGTACGCTCATGAGTCTGCTTTGGACAGATTGAACGGGGAACTCTTGGAGGAGTTTATGACCGTAAGGCCGAATTCAGCTTTTGAGAACATTTCTGTGATTACAATCGCCTACTTAAGATAGTGTCATCGCTTTTTGTTTTGTTTACTCACTTGATTTGGGGATTTCAGGAGAATTTCACTGCTGCACGTATGGTACTGGCGGCAAGTGGAGTTGAACACGAGGAACTTTTACAAGTTGTTGAGCCACTAACTTCTGACCTTCCTAATGTACCGCGCCAAGGGGAGCCCAAATCTCAGTATACTGGTGGAGATTTTCGCCAACATACTGGTGGAGAGGTATCTATGACAGATTTGCTGTCATTGTTTTATGTTACAACTGTAACTGAGCTTTTTGTTCTGTTATCTTTTCAGGCTACACACTTTGCGCTTGCTTTTGAGGTGCCTGGCTGGAATAATGAGAAAGAAGCAGTCATTGCCACTGTTCTCCAGGTGCATATGTTGAATGTTTAGTTTTCGCTTCTGTTAATAACTTTCACTTGTTTCAGTCGAATCCTATTCATTAGGGAAGACTCTTTTTTAATATAAATTTCTTTGTTATTAGATGCTTATGGGAGGGGGTGGCTCATTCTCAGCTGGAGGCCCTGGAAAAGGAATGCACTCATGGCTCTGTAAGTTAAATCCCGTTTTTCTTTTTCATGATTGAGCTTTCAGTTTTTGCATTTATTGAATTATATCTTGAAACATTTTCAAGCACTGCTTACCGATCAGTAATAGTGATGCAACTTCCTATTTATGGTTATATTACAGATCGCCGTATTCTAAACGAATACCAGCAAGTTCAGTCGTGTACTGCATTCACTAGCATCTTTAACAACACCGGTCTGTTTGGAATCTATGGTTGCTCAGTAAGTTCAGGAAAAAGCCCGATGTTGTTTACACTGTGTTTCCTTGTATAAAATATCATCCTTTTCCCGTGATGATAGACAAATTGTGTGAGTATTATGATTGCTTATGGAATATCGATTCGTTGGGGTGTATTAAGCTTCGTCCAGTTTGTGTTAGCTGACAACTTCGTTGCTTCATATGTATTCTGGGTAAACATAGTGATATGATTTACGATCCTGATTGCAGAGTCCCGAGTTCGCTGCCAAAGCCATTGAGTTAGCAGCTAAAGAACTGAAAGATGTTGCCGGAGGAAAAGGTTTGTAGCATGTTTCATCCTTTTTTCACTTTTAAAATTTCGAAACAATTCTATTACATGTATGAAACATATTCCTTGTGGTTTATATGGTTGGACAGTTAACCAGAAGCATCTTGATCGCGCCAAGGCAGCCACAAAATCTGCAGTTCTGATGAATTTGGAATCTCGGGTATTCTCTCACTCTCTCACTTAAAGATGAAACCAATTTAAATAGATGATACTAACGTTAATGTTGTGTCGTATGCAGATGATTGCAGCAGAAGACATTGGCAGGCAAATACTTACATACGGAGAAAGGTACACATCAAATTTTCGTTTTTAAAAAAAAAAACTTAAAAATTCTCTTTAATATCAATGTATTTTTATGTTAAAAATATTGCAGGAAGCCAGTTGAGCAGTTCTTGAAGACAGTAGACGGACTTACTTTGAAGGACATTACAGATTTCACCAGCAAGATTATTTCTAAGCCTTTGACAATGGGTTCCTTCGGAGAGGGTAACGAACCTATCTCTTTTAACTTAATACATTTCATATACTTGTTCACTTACAGAGGGGTATAAAACAACAATGAACTTGTGTCTGTTTTTTTTTGTTTGGCAGTGTTGTCTGTTCCAAGCTACGACACCGTAAGCAGCAAATTTTGTTGAAGGAGCAAACGTTTGCTATAAAAATCAAACGATATTTTGGGACTTGTAAAATAAAGATCTTTGGGAGAAGAAGAAAAAGACCCAACCAGTTTTAATTTTTTTCAACCGTGGTCCTAATTTTTTATTAAAATGGATTTTTGTTTCGATCTACAGTTAAAAAAGGCGGACTTTTTCCTGGCCGTCTCTCTACAATAAAAATTTTTGTTACTACGTTCACACAGCTTCATGCAGTGGCATAATTGTTACTGTGATGGCATTTCATTTTTTTGCGTGCTTAACATCAAGTCATGATATGGGCCATATGGCATGAGTGTATGGAAGTGAAGTGAACTCATTTGGTTGCAGTTAAGGTTGATATTGATCGCGGAGGGTGTTATGGATGTGAATCATGATACAGTACTTGCTGGGGACATAGCGTTTTACGCCCAAGCCATTGAAGGAATGTGTCTCGTAAGGATCGATCTGGAGGAGGCAGTGGAAGGCTGTAGGGACGAGGATGAACAATAAAAAGCAGAAGTCTCGGGATTCCACATCTAGGTCATGTTGGTAGGATAGGGTTGAGCAATCAGAACACTTCAGAAACCAGTTCCAAAGGCGAGTGCTTCCTCCACATTTTTTGGGGTTGGGGCAAACAAAAAAAGTAACGATTGGTCTCATATTGCTGCTTTGAATAGTTAGGCAAGTCTCTCTCAACGATAAAGACTTCACTGCATCGAATAATTGTCTATTTTAAGCCTCTTTCTCAAAGAAATCCACAGCCACCTATTTTTCTTCAAACAATTTAATCTATTGTATTACATAGAAATTTCACATTATCTTGCATCTCAAATCTTAAGAAATTAAAGAAACAAAATTCAATAATGTGAAACTTGTTTTTTTTTTTGGTAAAACATGTGTGTGAAACTTACGATCAACATGCATGCAGACAAGTATGCTATGCAAGAATCCAATCTTAAATCTTTATTAGTCAGAACAAACATTTAGATCATTATGTATATATATAATTTTTGTTGGCCAAAACAAATAATATTAAGGTGTGACCAGAAACGTTGTTAGATGTCTTTAAACCCTTTCACTCTGGTGGTTTCATTACAATGGGCCTAGTAGAGTTAATAAAGAAGCTAAAGAGCTTTTGCAGGAGAAGAAAGATTGGTTCTTTTCCTCTTTTCAAAAACATGTTTTGCATAAAGAGAGCTACAACACAATTAATTGATGTTTTTAAAGTGTTCATCAAGTGTGACTAATCATGATCCAAAGCTTTAGACAGTAGAGAACATAATGACTAAAAGGTAGTAGCTGTAATATACTCAAGAACCAAAATCATATTTTTCATTTGTCTGGTTTCGAGTTCCAATAAAACTCATCTATGAAATTCTCAAAGAAGATGTAACACACCAGAATGTACATCAGACTTCAATTAGAAACACAATTCAAAAACCAAAACTCATCAGAGTAAAAAGCAAGAGCAAAATAATAACATCTCTACTTCTATAAGCTGTAAAGTTATTTCATCAGCTTCTCATGTTCTCTTGCTTCCATTCCCATCTGCATAATTTATACAAAAAATTATGTTAACTTCACATATAGTCATAAGCAAAAATGATTTCAAATCTGAAAATTAAACTTACACGTCAATGCAGAAGAAATCTCAGAGGTTTTGATCACACGCAGCCTTTTCACCGAAGATACAAACATACTGAGAAACAAATATGCTTTAGTTTGTTATTTGATTAAAGCTGAATAATATCCTGAAAAAGTAGAAAGATTCTTACTGCCATGGGACATCTCCTACAAGCATCTTGTCTCCTTCATTGTCCTCATAAGTAAGAGTATATTCTCCATTCCCATCCAATAATCCAGTGATTGGTTTCTCTTCTTCTCCAAATGATGATGATTCTTTTTGAGCTAATAACATCAGACAACAAGCATTAGTCACAAAAGAGCTAATGACCCTTTTCTTGAAAACTTTATACCACAATCAAGATAAAGAGTCGAAGGGGGAATATTTACCTGCAAGAAGACCTCTAAAGAGTTTGTCGACAGTGAAAGATAACTGTTCATAGCTATTATGCGCAATGAGGTCAACTTTACGACCAATGGGAACACCATACATGTTTATCTTCACAAATAAGCCTCCTTGCCTCTTTACTCCCATTGGCTTCTCTGGGCCATTATTATCATCACACTTCTGGTTTTTGAGGACAAAACCATTGGAGGTGGATTCATTTCCAAGCTTTGAAGAGCTTCCATTTGTTAAGTTCTTCCTGAATGATCTAACCGGAGGCCAACCCACCACTGGACCAGGAGCAGTTCTTTAAACACAATAAATCAGAGAAGAGAAAAAAATTGTTAATAAACACACATGAACAGGACTAAAAGAATCTGAAAATATAGAAAGGTGAAAGAGAGAAAATACTGTTAATAATCTGAAGAAAAAAAAGATGCAAAAAAAGTTGGAAAAAAAAACAAAGAAAGGCAGTAAAAAGACTGAAACATGGACATGTGTGAAGCAAATAAACTTTGAGATCCAATCTTGAGCAGACATGAAGGAGATGATGGGACCCATAATTATTTATTTCAAGTGAATATATCAAGTCAAAACGATACAAAACAGATAAAAACAAAAGTAAGAGATGAAAGGTGAGGTAAAAAGAAAGAAAGAAAGGTTTTAAACCTTTTCTGAGATGTGGTTTTGTTGGTGATGGAAGGAGGGAAGTGGTTGCCAGCGAGAGAGAGGATAGATTTGTCTTTTGGTTCTTTCTTGATGTGTCTTATAATCGATGAACCAACTTCATCGTCACCAGGGGGAGCAAGCTTTAGCTCAAGTTTCTTTTCTTCAGAGTTGTAAACAGAGGCTTTGTCATCGTGAAACCAGTTTCTTGAATAACCCTCCATTAGTTTTTTTTAAGAGAAATTTGCTGTTCTTGGACCGGAAGAAAGAGATTCCGACAAGTAAAAATCTGGTTGTCTGAAATTCGACAGAACAAGTCTCTACGAAAGACAGAAGAGGGAGGAAGGAGATAAAATGGTGTGAGAAGCTAGAGAGGTGGATTAGTGGGTCTTTTATACAAATGAAAGCATCGCTTTTTCAACAAAAAAGAAAGAGAGTAAAAATGTTAACTTTATGGTGGGTTCTTCTCTAGCTTATGAAAAGGGGGGAGATTTTTGGGAATTACAGCGAAAAAAGGAACAGAAGAAAGTCAGATTAAAACCAGATAAAAATCAAAAGGAATCATCAAAAACCAGAACATTAATAAACAGTAAACCAAGAATTAAAAAGAGGTGTATTGGTGTGAAACACACGCAATCCTCTTCTCTCTCTCTCTCTGTCTTAAAAGAACCGTAGGGTACTAGTTTTAAGTGGAGAAAGCAAAGCGTGCTGCTTTGTTTCAACCCCATTGGCCTGGCCTCTCCTTTTTTCACCATCTCTCTTCTTTTCTAAATTTTTAGTATATGAACATTTCCAAAAAAAAAAAAAAAAAACATTTCTATGTTCAATTTCATAATTACTTAAAATAGGTTAAACAAAAGGAAAGAAATAAAAAGGTTGAAAAGAGAATAGTTATTTAGGTTATGAATGGGAGGGGTGGGACAAAGACAGATCAAGCAGTTCTCCCGCAATAGGCAGTTATCCTGTCTTATGTTTACCATTCATCATTTTCTGTTTGTAAAAGCAGTTCAAGCGGGAGATCTGCATGCAGTTCAATTTTTTTGTCTTTTAGTAGAAAAAGCAGGAGATCTGCATGCAGATCCCATCCGCTAACATTTGGTGGTGTTGATCTGCCTTTTTTTTTCCTTTTACTAATAAATAGTTTTATTACAAACACTTAACTTTAAAATATATTTTATTTGATTTTATAAATAATGTACAATTATTAACTCAAACTATATAATTCACATTAATTTTATTTGTATCATTTTAAAGTTATAAGCATGATGTCTAATCGCCAAAAAACACAATATTTTCCACGAAAAAAATATAAATTTTTCTACATAAGTGTCAGCAAAAAAATAATTATTATATATTTTAAAATAATTAATAAATAGAAGAAGCATAAACATCTAATAAAAATTTTACAGACATTTTGGCTGAACATACAACATCTGAAATATTTTGTTTTGATATTTGGTGTAATTTTTATTATTTTAATATATGATATATAATGTGAACATATTTTGTCATTTATAATTTATAATAAATTATTTAATCTGTTTTATCTCCATTTTTATATATAAATATTAACAAAGAATTAAATATTAAGATGTCTGTTNATTTGGTGTAATTTTTATTATTTTAATATATGATATATAATGTGAACATATTTTGTCATTTATAATTTATAATAAATTATTTAATCTGTTTTATCTCCATTTTTATATATAAATATTAACAAAGAATTAAATATTAAGATGTCTGTTATTCAAAAATAATTTTGATCAACTAAAACGCTACAAGCATCTTATGAAAAATTCAATAAACATTTAGGCTGATCCTACAACATTTAAATATTTATATTGATATTTGGTATAATTTTATTCTTTTAATATATGATCTATAGTTTTGAACTTATTTTGTCATTCATAATTTATGATAAATTGTTTGATCTGCATCTCTCCTGCTTGATCTGCTTGATCTGCACTTGTCCTGCTTTATCTGCACTTGTCCTGCTTGATCTGTATGAACCGCTTGATCTGCACCGTTTGATCTGCTTTTACCATTCGAAGCTTTAGTAAAATCCACCATTTAATTATGAAGTAGACTGTAGACCTATGTCGATAGGTGTAATGGTAAGTATACAAAATGTAATGACAATAAAGGAAATTATAAAATATGTTTTCCCTAAAATGAAATGATGATTCCATGATCTTTCTCTGGCCTGTTAGACCATCTCCACTGGGGGTTCTATCCCATTGGAGTTCTAAAATTAAATATGTGTGTATGTATGTATTATATATATGTATGTAATTATAGGGTCCATTAAATAGTGTAGAACCCTATTCAAAAGTTCTAAAAATAAAACTTTTTAGAACTTTTGAGTAAGTTCTACACTATTTAATGGACCCTACAATTACATACATATATATAATACACACATATATGGTTTTAGAACTCCAATGGGATAGAACTTGTAAGTGCAAAGATGACACCACAATAAGGTAGTACAGAAGGTAAACCAAGAGACAAAACACCAATAGCTTTATTCAAATCTTCTTTAAACAATCTTTACAAGACCTTGTTTATTCAGCTTTACACGTCTAGTGTTAACACCCTAACACACGTCACTGAAAGATTCTTAAGCTACTCACTTATGTCTCTCTGCCGTCAAGTACTTCAGCCTCTGCTTCAGCACGACCCAAGAACACCTTAAGAGCTTCTCTCTCTCTCTATAAGATTAGCCTCCGTGTCTCTGTCTCTCTGCAGACGACCCCCTTGCTATCTTATACTTATTTTCCACGTTCCCAAAACCTTAGTCTTCAAGGAACACAATATGGACATCTTCCATAACATTAAGTGCAACTTTCCTTTTCTTGAAATGCACTTATTCCTCTTTCTTTAAGTCATAAACTTGCTCCTCAAGTTTATTCCTCTTGCCTTTTCTCCAAGATACACCCTTGCTCTCCAAGTCTACACGACTCCAGCTCAGCATCTTGACTCCACATGGTTTTC